TATCTGCTTGGATGTCAGTTATGGTCTCTTTGGGGTATATTCCAAGTAGAGGAATTGCTGGGACAAATGGTATTTCTATTTGCAACTTTTTGAGAAAGCACCATACTGCCTTCCATAGTGGCTACACCATTTCATGCTCAGGGTGGATGAATTTAAAGAAAAGAACTTACTACTTCACGTTCTGGAAGGTGGAAGCCTAAAGACAGAGCCCTGGATGGCCTTGGACTCACCATCTGCTCCAGGGGGAGACCCTTCCTTGTCTCTTGGTCTTCCTGGTAATCTCATCCTAGGTGACCCTGTCTTCCTATCTCTTCTACTCTTTCATGAGACACCACTCGGAAGAGTTAGGACCCACCCTCCTCCCATCTGTCCTCGTTGATTCAGCTGATCACCTCTTCAAAGAAAGACCCCATTTCCGAACAAGGCCATGTGTAACTACCAGTAGACAGGTTGGCATATCATCTTATCTTCTATATGATGATACAGTTAGACCCATAAACAAACAGGCAAACAGAATACCCCAAATCTCTTGCTGTCAAGTCAATTCCAATTCATGGTGACTCTTAAAGTGGCCGATGAGTCTGAATTACCCACTTTTTGCTTGTTGTGTGCTGTTGAGTTGGAACTGACCCATAGCTGACCTTCTGGAAGGTTTTCAGAGACAGGTAAATGTATGGAAAGAGACTTCCCATCCTTCTCCCACGGAGCATCCGGTGGATTCGAACCACAAACCGTTGGCATTACAGCACACCTTCTGGCGACTAGGCTACCAGTGGTCTCCCACTTTTTGGTTAGCAGCCAAAAACTTAACCACAGCTTAACCAGGACTCAGAACAGGTCACTGTGACAGCAGAGTGAACTTACCAGAAGTCTGAGAAATTTATCAGAGAGTCTCCTGATGTGAGATAAGCTTTAACCCTCCTTCTCTTAGTCTTAGTCTCTCTTATGATCTCACTGGACCCAGCTAGATAAGCTAGGATAATCTTCAGTTCTCAAGACTCTTCATCACATCTGCAGAGTTCCCTTTGTTAAGTAGTGTGACATAGTCACATGTTTCAGGGAATATGACAGAGCTGTCTTTTGGGGAGCATTACTATGCTCATCACAGAAGCCAACTTGAGCTAGTTGACAGAGAAGAGGTATAAATTAATGCCTCTCATAGACTTTTCTCTGTCCTTCAGTTAATAGTGGTTGACTGAAAGAATGAATGAATGAAGACATGATTGTAAATTAACCCAAAGTTAAGGTTTATTGGCATAATGTAGCAAACAAAGTCAACGTTCTATATATTACTTTGGTTAGTACCAACGGAGGTGGCAAAAACTATGAGTAGCCACTGAGTTTACTAACTATTGATCTCTCCCTGACTAAAGTCAAGAATAGTGAAGAAAATCAAAGCTACAGAAGAAATTCATTCACGGAACTTCTGCACCCATGCCAACTCCAATCTTTAGGACTGTAAGACCAGAAGAACTAGATGATGCCCAGTTCCCATTGCCAACCACTCTGAAAGGAATCATGACAGGTCTTGGACAGAGGGGGAGAAAAAACATGAAACAAAATGAAACTTTATGATCTTTTATTTAAAAATGTGAAAAGTTAGGAGCTTTTTCTCTTCTTTCAATTTTATTTTATTAATTTTAATGAACATTTACAGAGAGTTTGGATTTCCATTCATTCATTGTTGCACGGAAAAAGCATTTTTTTTAAAACCCACAAAAGCAAAACTAAGCCAAGCTTTCTGCTCTGATAGAGGCTGGTAGGAACCCAGAGAATCCTGAAGGAAGGCTGCTTTGAGTTGGACTTGATTCAATGGAGAAGGTTATTCTAAAAACTTGCACTCTTTCCCACAGAATATCATGTCATTGTTAAGTGCCATTGAGTCGTAGGCGACACATAGCGACCCTATGAACAAAAGACCTGAACGCTTGTATAACTTTCATCCTTTCTCCAGATTCATAGGGTTTCCGGAGGCAAGCTATTTCAGAAGTGGATGCCACTCTTTCTTTCAAGCTTATTTTAATTGGGAGCTCCACCAAACCCGGCTCACCATGGGTAACCATAATCCTGAGGCCGCAGATCAAAGTCATCCACCTTTGGTTTGATAGCATCACTTTCTGTCCACTCGGCCTACTGATCTCTCTCTATGCTGCTGTCGTTATTAAGTGCCACTGAGTCTTCAATGAAAAGATATCCTTCAGTCCAGCTGGTCTGAAATGCAGGAAGAAATGTGGACTTCTGAGTTAGTGGCTAATACCCATTGGGACCTAGCCATAGATGCCTGGAGATGAGTTGACCAGAACCCAACCAGCTAAGAGATGATCCTTGCTGTGAGATAGTGTTGATTCCTACAGCCTGATGGCTAGCTTTGGACTGGTCTTTGTTTGTGGATGCAAATGCTCATTGTTTCTAAACTGAACAGAAGATTCTTTAGCAAAAGAGGCATGCTTGTTCCCTCAGAGTATAGGTTTAATAGAGATGGGCAAATCTGAAACTGGCTATCTAAAATGGGGATATTGGAAATCCTCCGTGGCCAGAGAAGAGGAAAGAGACTGCCTCCAACCCGGTGGACTGTAGGACATGCTTTGAGACAGTTGCAATCAAGGCCAAACTAGAGACATGTGAGCTGAGACCTTTTAGGGTACGGGAAAAGCCAATATTGGCAGGACTGGGAACTTTGTTGGATAATTTGGTGGAGAGCTGTTATTGGCAGGACTGAGAACTTTCCTGGATAGTTGGGAAGGTGGAAGCCAACATTGGCAGGACTGAGAACTTGGGAACACTTAGAGCCACGAGGCTTGAGGCTGAGGTGTCTGCGTGGACATTTGTAGAGCTGTCTTGACTGTATTTTGTTATTAATCTGAATTACAACCTTTCGACTCTTCCCCTCCCTCAAAACGAGGAAATCAAGGCATGAAGTAGCTGGCTTACACACTTTCAGAAATGTGGTTCTTAGTAAAATGATTGTAAGGAGAAAGTTAATTTTTCAAATTTGAAGGCTAATGGCTAGAAAAGCCAGGGGTTAGTCTGTGGAGTTCTGAGTTCATTGTTCCAGATTTCTTTCCTAGCCACTGAGTTTGACTCTGCCACGTGGATGGGCGGGGCCATGTACACGGGGTGTGTTGGTCTGTTCACAAGGGGATCGGCAAGTCTTGCCGTTGAGTGGATTCAGCATCAGAGACTGAGAGTCTCATCACCAGCAGAGACTGCAGAGTGCAACTCCTTCAGGGCCAAAGATTCCTGCACCTCTCAGAACAGGACCGACAGGAGCCACAGCAACTGCAGAGAAACAAAGACCCGACATGAGGCAGGGCTGACCTTGGGACTGCTGTGCCTTGGAAGCAGAGCTAGGAGCCTTCAAGTTTGTTTGAGGACTCAGGGGAGACGTCATCATAGGCAGAACTGAGAGTTTTGTAACACTGGCCTGTAGTCGTGAGGCCAAGGGCGGAGGTGCCTGCCTGCAGGTACATTCCAGGAGCTGTGCTGACTGAGCAGTGGTATACTGCTGCCAGCCTCAATTCTAACCTTTTGACTTCCCTAAGAAAAACCATTATCATGGAGGGAAATAATTAAAAAGAAAATAAACGAAACCAAGAGCAGAACCCACTGCCTCTCTCAGGGCCAAGTTAGACTGTGGTCTAGAAAGCCGTGGGGCTTCTCTATCCCTTTGCCTGGTCTGATGTACACACCAGCCTGACTTTCTATGAAGATATTTCCTTCTGTTTCTCAGGGCCTGGGCCAGATGCACAGTACTCATCTCATTGCTCTGGAGTTTGGAAGAAAGCAAGAGACTGTTAAAGAGAAACATTTCATCAACAAGTCAGTTACAGCAAACAAGGTTTTTATGGAGTGAGAAACTATTTTCAAGGAAGCCGCTCCAGAAAGAATCTTGCTACAGAAGTTTAACGGGAATTAGAGCATTTCCAGTTAGACTGGGTCTTCTTTTTGTTCCTAATTGAAAGGAGAGTCTTACAAAGTGAGGATCTTTCTTCCGTGGATGAAACTGGGTGGTGAGCATTGGTGTGTCTGGCATGGTGTGTCAGAAACATCCTTCAAGGTCAAGTTGTCATTCTAGGAACGTCTCCTACAATTAGAACATGCTGTAAACCCCCTTTTGTTTTGTCACAGTGTGTACCTGAATACAGCCAACCATTCTGATCTATTGTTCTTTTAAAAAACAAAGAAAAAACTCTCGGCACCCCGCACAAAGGGCTATTAATTTTTAGTTAATACTTAATGCCACCCAAATAGCGTTCTATCTCTTTCTCTCACCTTCTGTACCTGTTCTAATGCCAAATCCTTAAGGAAGATTGGCTCTGACTGGAACAGGTGTCCACTCTTGTCCAATCACCTTTGGGCAGGAATGGGTTTACCTAGAACAAGCTGCCTGCTGTGCCCAACGTCCTCACTGACATCATGGATGGGTGGATGAGCTTCACCGTGGTGAGTGGGCCTCCAGCTCAGAGGAAGTGGCCTGTATGTCACCTTTCATGTCTTAATTCTCTACCACTTTCACCTGCAGGCCACAGAGGAGCGCCTGAAGAAGGAATCCAACCACAGCCTCCAGATTCAGCGCCAGACACATCGCCTGGAGCTGCAGGCCGTGGAGGAAAAGGCGAGACAGGAGCTGCAGGAAGAACGGGAGAGGATGCAGGCCCAGCAGGCTCTGCTGCTGGGTATGTTCACTGAGCCGAGACTACAGCCCACTGCTCAGGCCCATCCACACCCTGCCGTCAAGCCACAGCCACACTCAACCTCTGCCTCTTGGAGTCCAGCCACAGGGGTGCCCCCAGAAACCAGGGGCCAGCTGAGAGCAGAGTGGCACACGTGGCGCCTGAGTAACCGAGCCCTGGGCTGGCTTTCTCTGAGCCTCGTTTTCCTCTTCTGTAAAAATTGATTACAATCCCCTCTTGTGATAGGGTTATTTGCACATTAGATGAGTTTGCAAATACAAAGTATAAAGCCACAACTACTAATCCAAAGCTGGTGATACAGACCCACCTGTGGATGCCTGGGGTGCGAGGCCTTACGGTCTGCTAACGGCCACAGCCTTGATAGCTCTAAGGCACGCAGTTCTAATGTGAAACACATCAGTCACTGAGAGCGGGAGTCAACACAAAGACAACAGGCTAGCATGTCGTACGAGTCCAGTGAATGGTATTGGTGATGATTGGAATCCCTGAGTGGGACAAAAAGTTAACACACTCCTCCAGAAGGTGGGAGGTTCACATCCACCCAGAGGGACTCAGAAGAAATGCCTGGAGATAGGCTTCCCTTAATCAGCCGTTTAGAACTTAATTCTGTTGTCCTACACAGAGTTTATTTGAGTCAGAATAAATTCTGTGCTAACCGTTTTTTGTTTTCACTGAAAAGGAATATAACATCTGTTGCAGACTGAGGGTAAAGTATGCTAATAATTAATAGCAAGATAAAACACCAAGAATGTATAGGTAAACAGAGCGTAAAAGACAGGGGGCCAGCAGTTCCAACAACTGAAGCACCTCAAGCCACGCCTCTCTGTGTGTTTATTGAGAATCAGGGAAAGCAAATCATCAAGAGAATGCTCTTGTAAATGAAACCGAATTTTTCTCTATTGTCAACCTGATGCTTGGCTCAGGAAGGAAGAATTTCACATGTATTAACACTCCCTCTGCAGGGGAACCCCAGCTGTCTCTTGTCTGCAGGAAGCAGCTCATTTCCTGTGATCCAAGAGAAATTTCAATGTATAGTTTTATGATTCCTTCAATTCCTAAATAAGTATGTGGTTTTTCATGTAATATTTGATAAGGAATTTGGCTTTCCATAACATTCATTTCTGGAACTTTATAAAAGCCATTGCTCTCAAGTTGATCCCAACTCATGGTGACTCACTCCTGGGTTTCTGAGATTGTACCTCTTTATGGGAGGAGATGGCCAGTCTTTCTACCACAAGCAACCGGTGCATTCAAAGTGCCCACTTTTTGCTTAGCAGCCATACATGCTGGGTGCACCGAGACAGAGGTAGGTGGTTTAGTCTCACCTTCTCATTCCTGCGTATTTGGAGGGGTTGGGCCTCCAGACCCCTGCATGTGCCCTCGCTTCCTTTATCAGCCTTACATGATCCCTGCCAAGGAAGTCAGCCCTCCTCAATTTTCAAATTTAAAAAACCCCAACCCTCCTCCTGTGAAGCAGCTGGCCGTTGAGTGCTCCTAAGCCAAACAGCCTGGGTTTGAAATCTGGCTCCAGCACTAGCTTTGTGGCCTTGGACAAGTTGCTTAACTGCTCTGTGCTTCTGTTTCTGACCTCTTGAGGGAGATAATGGTGACAGTCACTTCATAGAGTTGTTAACTAGGATAATAAAAGTAAATACAGGTGAAGCACTTACAACTGATCCCAGAACATGGCACACACAATCAGTTGTTTTCATTGAAGGTGCAGATACTTCCAGCTGACTGTGAACCTCTCTCTCCATCTTCCCAGCTCATCTTTTTCTTTCCTTCCTTCCCCTGCTAAGAAAGATTCCTCCTTGTTGTTGTTATATGCTGTTGAGTCACTTGAGACACATAGCAACCTTATGTACAACAGCCCTAAACCCTGCTCTATCCTATGCCAATCTCACTGTCTCCGACACACCCACCCTAATAACCCCAGTCACTGAATCAATCCACCTCATAGAGGGTCTTCCCCTCCTGCACTGTCCCTCCACCCTACCAAGCATGATGTCTCTCTCCAAGGACTGGTCCCTCCTGGCAACACGTCCAAAGTATGTCAGACGAAGCTTCAGAATCCTTGCCTCCAAGGAGCAGCCTCGTTTCACCCTCTCCAGGACAAACCTGTCTGTTCTCCTAGCAGTTCATGGTATATTCAATACTCTTCTCCAACGCCAGAGCTCAAAGTCATCAATTATCTTTCTGTCATACGTTGTTGTTAAGTGCTGTTGAGTTGTAGATAGCTCATAGTGACACTATGTACGAAACACCTGTACACTTGCATAACTTTCATCATTTCTCCAAGTTCATAGAGTTTCTGGAGGCAAACTATTTCAGAAGTGGATACCACTCCTGCTTCCAAGCTTGTTTTAATCAGGAAGCTCCTCCAAACACTGTCCACCATGGGTAACCATTATCACATTTGACATATCAGTGTCACAGTGTTCAGCATCACAGCAACCACGAGTTACCTCTGTACAGCAAATGGACAGACCAGTGCTAGACCATTCACTTAGAAGAATGTTTGACCAAAACCAATTGCAACCAGGCCTGAGGGCCACAGATGAAAATCACCCACCTTTGACTTGGTAACGTGAGGTGGGTGATGATTTTAATCTGCAGCCCTCAGTCCTGGTTGTAATTGGGTTTGGTCAAACATTCTTCTATAATCTAGATCAGTAAAAACCAAATGGGTCTTTGTTACGCACGGAATTGGATCTTCTCGTAGAACACATTGGCATCACAACACCTTCATTGTTGTTAAAGAAGCCCTGGTGACTCAGTGGTGACGTGATTGTCTAGTTATCAAAAGCTGAGTGGTTCCAATGCTCTGCAGGACAGAAGACCTTGTGATCTCTTCCAATGAAGACAATAGCCCAAGAAACTTTAGGGGGAAGAGTTGGAAAACCTTCTCAATATCACCTACCAATAACATCAGACTGTGGATACAATCCCTTTTAAGAATGTTGTTGTTAAGAACCATTGAACCGTTTCAATTCATAGCACCTTAGTAGAATTGGATGAACCGTGGCCCAGTCCTGCATCAGCCTTCCAGTCCACACTCATTGCTGTGTTTGAACCCACCTCCTTAAGGACCTTTCTCTTTTTTACCGACCATTTACTGTTTGGAACAGTAACGTTGAGGGTCAGGAAAAGAGAAGAAGATTCTCAGTGGGACAGACTGACACAGCAAGTGCAATAAGGGTCTTGAGCATGGCAGAAAGTGAGGATGGTGCAGGAGGGCGCGTTTTCCATCTATTGTTCGTAGGTCTCTAAGAGCCACAGGTGACCCAATAACATCTATCAGCCACATCCTTTACCTTGTATGAGATGCTTCGGCAGGAACTGGTCCCTCCTGTTCACATGACCAAAGTGCATAACCAGAGTTGTGGTTAGGTGCCAGCAAGTTGAGTACTTTTCATAGCAGCCCAGTGAACAACATATCTGAACACCATCCTTTCCTGTGCCAACCTCACAATCTCTAACACAAGCTGTAGCTACTGTGTCAGTCTACCTGGTTGAGGGTCTTCCCCTCTCTTTCTCCGTCCTTCCACCTTTCCAAGAACAGTGTTCTTTTCCAAGGAATAAGCTCTCCTAGCAACATGCCCAAAGTCTGTGAAACGAAGCTTTATCGTCCTAACCTCCAAAGAGCACTTTAGCTGCACCTTCTCCAGAACATACCTGTTTGTTTATTCAGTACTCTCCTCCAACACCATAGTTCAAAGGCATCAATTTTCCTTCTGCCATCTTTATTCATTGTCCAGCTCTCAGATGCCTAGCAAGTGATTGAAAAGACCACAGTCTGAATCAGAGACAGGACTAAGGAGTCCTCAAACTAACATCATTGCTCCTCAGTGATTTGGAGAAGTCTCTGCAGACTTTCCCCAAAGCAGTGTATCTCCTGATCTCCTCACCACTCGTACCAAGTCTATTGATTGTGGATCCAAGTAAGTTAACAGCTTCAATCCTTTCTCCGTCTATCACGATGTCACACTTATGAGTCCAGGGGTGAGAATTTTGGTTTTCCTGACATTGAGATGCAATCCATAGTGAAGGCTGCAGTGTTTGATCTTCTGCAGCAAGTATTTCAAGTCCTCCTCAATTTCAACAAACAAGGTCATGTCATCTGTACCGAAGGTCATTGATGCGTCTTCCTCCAATCCTGATGCCGCATTCTTCTCCGCAGAGTCCAGCTTCCAAGTGATTTGTTCAGCATACAGATGGAATCGTTAGGGAGAAAGGATACAACTGGACACACACCTTCCTTCATTTTAAACCGTGTCAGTGTGTGCTAGCCTGGCAGTGGGTGGTGCAGGATAGGACAAGGTTCAGATCAGTTGTTGGTAGAGTTGCTCTGAGTTGTAGCCGACTTGACGGCACTAGCAACAACAACAACAGATACATGCAAAAGTAACATACGCACAACCAGAGCACACCCTCATTGTTGAGGAACATTCTGCATGTACGTCTTCTAAGATTTATTAGTTCTTTTGGCACTCCGTGGTATTGTCATTATCCTTCACCAGATTCTTCTCTCGTCTTCCTTACTCACTGTCTACTTTTATCATGCATATGTTAGGTCTCGTTGAGTCGACTACAATTCACAGCAACCCAGTGAACAACTGGTCTGAATCTCGGTCTGTCCTGCACCGTATTCATGGTCTCGCCCATGCCTGAGCCCACTGACCCAGCCACTGTGTGCCCTGAGCCACACAGACACATGAGATGCCAGCAAATACAGATGCCTGTGTTCGGCACACCGTAGCCAGCCCTCAGAGCGGCGTGTTTGCTTTTTCACACTTTAGAGAAATCTTTTGTAGTTGATTTTTCCCAATGCCTGCTTTATTCCAGTCGATCTTCATGTTAACTTCATGATACACCAGCCAATACCTGAGTTTCCAGATACTCTGAGGTCTGGGAAGGTCACGGATTTGGGGGAACATCATTGAACCCGACACACTCAGACTGTGAACAGTGGGGTGGGTGACGAGTACACTGGGGTTAGGATTCAAGCTGGGTTTGTAGTCCTGAGAAAGAAAATGAATGAGTGGATAGATGGTAACAAATTACTCTAATGTAGTTTATGCTTTGTTAAAGATTTTTCTTTTACTTATTTTTTTATTTTATTATTATTTTTGTGTGCGTGTACCATCAAATCAGGCCTGACTGGTACAGGAGGAGATTGTCCCTCCTTCCCCGACAGAGCATCTGGTGAATTCGAACTGTGCGCCTCTGGGATTGTAGTTGCAGCTCCTTGCCACTAGGCCACCAGAGCTCCCCTTATTTTACTTATTTTTATAGTTACATATTTTAATTGGCTTGTGCCTGGGTTTTAGCCTGCTAGTCTTATTTGCACTTAATACATGGTAGCTGTTATTGTCTCGGGATAAGTTTGGGAGACCTCATCCGAAAGCCTTCGGCACACGCACTGCACACTATTGAGTCTGAGGGATTCTGCAGGACGAACTTCAACTGTGAACACCTCTCTGACCATCTGCTCGTCTTCTCTTCCGCAGAGACCCTGAGGCAGGAGCTGTCAGAGCAGCGGGCTGCCTGCTCTGAGCACCAGCAGGACTTGGCGTCACTGCAAGCCCAGCTGAGGGCTCTGAGCAACTCAGGTCAACAGATGGCTGACTCTATGGCACCTGGAGACAGTGAGGAACAAGCCCTCACTGCAGAGGTTAGCGACCTGCACACCACACACACACACACACTCTCTCTCTCTCTCTCTCTCCAGAGTGGTCACACATACGCACCCAGAGTGATGTATGTCTGTGGCTGCGGCAGGACAGCACATAAAGCTAAGCTCTGAGGCTCTATTCTTCCCCTTTCTGATGGGGAGGATCTCCACCCTTTCTCCACCCCATTCTGAACTGGAAAGATCTTCCTCCTTCCATAGCCCTATCTGAAATGGGGGACCCCTCTCCTTCCACACCCCTGTCTGAATAGGGGGGATTCCTTCTACATCCCTGTCTAAAATGGGGGACCCCTCTCTTTCCATACCTCTGTCTGAAAAAGGGGTGCCCCTTTCCTTCCAAATCTGTCTTAAATAGGGGACCCTTCTCCTCTACACACCTGTCTGAAATGGGAGACCTCTCTGCTCTCACACCCCTCTCTGAAATGAGGGACCTCTCTCCTTTCACCCTTCTGTCTGCAGTAGGGACACCACTTTCCTTCTACACCTTGTCTAAAAGGGGTGTCCCTCTCATTTCACATCCTTGTCGGAAATGAGGAAACACATTTGGCTCATTTCTATTTAAACCATCTTCATGGCTCACCCCGTTCCTAAACCTTTCCAAGGAGCCACTCTGACCAGTTTCTGAAGCTGGAGACCTTTGAGACGGGAGTGAACCCCTGGAGCCAGGGCCCCGCCTTGGTCTAGGGCGGAGCTCGCATCACGGCCCCCTGACACCTTCCCCCTTGCTTCCCTCCAGGAGGTGGGCCCTGTGCCCGAGACCCCCGAGTTGGTGCCCAGCAAGGCGTGCGGGTTCTGCCCTGAGGGCCCCCCGCTGCAGGCGGTGCGCAGACTGCGGGCCGAGGCGGAGCAGCACCGGCAGGACGCACTGCAGCTCCGCGAGCAGCTCAGGTCCGTGGGTGTGAGGGTCCCTCAGGGTCCCTTGTCCCCCAGTGGGGAGCATCCGGGTCCACAGCGGTCTCCCCCTCAGCCTTCCCACAGAAAAGACCCCTTCACGTGCTAATGTTTCACCAGCATTCACTCCTGTGTTCCGCGCAAAGCTCCAATTTTCTGGGGATTCTGGTGGCGCCGCCATAAGGCAGGTGGTTCGAGCCCATCCAATGGCTTTTCAGGAGCGAATCCATCAAGATCAAAGCCAGGAAAATCTTGTGGGGAGGGTCGACTCTGTAAGACATGGGTGCGCGCATTGCGAGGCTGCCCTGATTAATTAGGGGCTCCAACAACAGGAACTCTGAATCCGTGTCTTGTCCTCTGTTGCGCCCTTGCGTAACTGCAGGAATTTGCAATTCCAAGTATAGAAAAAGGGTCAGTCCTGAGCCTCTCAATGCTCGCCTCCAGTTCTCCTCCCTCGCTGCCCAGGCCCCAGATTCTAGCCTAGTGACCAGCCAACCCCTCCCCCCGCCCTCACCCATGACCCTGCAGACCAAACCACCCCAACACCAAGTACGGGGCTCCGCGCGCAAGGACCAGCTGGGCTCTGCTTCCCCTGCAGGGTGCTGGAGGAGAACCAGCAGGCCCAGCAGGCCCGCGAGGTGGAGGCGCTGCGTCAGGAGCACCGCAAGGAGATGCAGACCATGGTGGCCGACTTCAGCAGCGCCCAGGCCCGGCTCCAGGCCCGGCTGGCTGCCCTGGAGACCGAGTGAGTGGGGCCCAGGGAGTCCACGTGGGAGGCACCCACTCCTTCAAGGGTCACTGGAATATCCTCAGCATCCTGCATCCCAGGAAGCCACTCAGGCCCAGACAAGCTGGGATGATGGTCTTAGTTATCCTATACTTCAGTATGAGCAATACCACAAGGGGGTGGATTTGATGAACAGAAATGTATTCTCTCAGAGCTGAGAAGATTCGAAGTCTGAATTCAGGACCCAGATTTTCCCCCCATTTATCTAGTATTCTTTTTCCTGCTACTTTATTTATAAAATTCTAATACAAATTTGAACAAATTCTTTACATTTCCCTCACCCCTCCACCCAATGATTAATCCCCCCTCCCCCTGCACATCCACATCTCTCTGCTTCCAGCCTTTCCCACCCTGCCTGGATCCTCATACTCATTCTACAATAACGGTCTTATACAATATTTATCCTTGTTAGTTAGTTAGTTAGTTAGTTAGTAGTTAGTTCACTCAGCATAATGTTCTCCAGTCCCTGCCAAGTTAGGTAATAATTTACAAAGTTATTGCTCCTGTGTGCTGCATAGTATTCCGTTGTGTGAATGTGCTGTAATTTCTCAATCCATTCGTTTGTGGCTGGACATTTGGGCTGTTTCCACGTTCTTGTGATGGTAAATAACGCTGCTATGAACATTGGTGGACAAATCTCGGTTTGTGCCTCAGTTCTCATCTTCTCAGGGTATATTCCAAGTAGTGGAATAGCTGGGTCATATGGAATTTCTATGTTCAGCTTTTTGAGGAAGCGCCAAATTGCCTTCCAGAATGGTTGCACCATTTTACAATTCCACCAACAATGTATAAGAGTTCCTTTCTTGCTACATCCTCTCCAACAACTATTACCTGCTGCCCCATTAAACTTTGCCACTCTTACTGGAGTGAAATGGTACCTCATTGTGGTTTGATTTACATCTTATTGCCAGTGATTTGAAACATTTTGTCACGTGTCTGTTTGCCATTTGAATATCTTCTTCTGTGAAAATTCTTTTCATCAGGACCAGATCTTAGAGAGGCAAGGGAATCCTGGTGTCAGCTTCTCCAGGGTTCTTAGAATTGCCTGAAAAGCTCAGTGTAGCCTCATGCTAGGTAAAGGAAAGGGTAAGAAAAAAAGACCAGGGCCCTCAAGGCAGTGACACTGGGACGGCAGCAGCGGGCTTGCAAGCAGACTGTGAGGATGTGTAGGACCAAGTGCGGCTTCCTCTTGCACGTGGAGCCTCCGAGTCTATTTTCTGAGCCAGTTGGTTATTTTAGCTAAAAGGTGATCTCAGGTGACAGTGTGAAGGGTTAAAGTACCTCAAGGCAACAGTATGTGGGAGTCCAGCATTCTTTGCCTCATTTACCTGTGAAAACATTGCTCTGAACACCAGGAGAGAGTCTGGGTGAGATAGACCAGTCGAGTTCAGGCACCTAAGTGCAGACTGGGCTGAGCCACAGAGAATTTTAACAGGGCCCATCTATCTGTCTCTAAGCCTGTGTGCTCCAAAACGTTGTCAGCTGTCTCCAGTGCGGACAAACCGGGATGGGGAATTTCACCTGTCACCATCTTAAAGGGCTCTAAGTGTGTACCGGACACACATGATTTTGTTGAATCTTCACAGTTTTATGCCCATTATAAAGAGAAGAAAAGCGATACTCACAGGGGAAATATTATGCACGAGGTCACATCGTGTGAAAAAAGGGTTTGAGCACAGGGCATCTCACAACGAAGCTGTAAGGATTGAAGCCTTCTGACTCTGCTTGAGTCTGGAAAGTTCCGTTTAGTTTCATGCTGAAAGGGCATGCTGTGCTCAATATTTGCCAGCAGATGGCGCCAGAGCCACACTGGCGTCCACTGCACCTGCAGCCCTGTGAGCTCACCGGTGGCCCCAGTCCTGCCTTGGGCTCCTCTAGCAGCTTACATTGGGGGTGTGTGTGTGTATGTGTGTGTGTGTGTGTGTGTGTCTCCTTACATTGGGGGGTGTGTGTCCTTACATTGGACGTGTGGGGGTGTGGGGATGTGTGTCCTTACATTGGGGCTGTGTGTGTGTGTCCTGCCTTGGGCTTGTCTAGCAACTTACATTGGGGGGTGTGTGTGTCCTTACATTAAGGGGTGTGTGTGTGTGTGTTTTAAAAAAAATGTTCAAAACAATTACATTGTTTTTCACAAAAGTTCCTTCCCATTTCCTTCACCCCACCCACCCATCAAATGGTGCAACCCTAAAATTAACACCCTATCCATTGATCTTGAAGCCCCATTGAGGGCAGCAGCTGCATACCCACTAAACCAAGCTCGTGGGCTATTGATGCTGGGTGAATCCTGAAACTCTTTCCCACAGATGATCTGTGAAACATAACCCAAAACCACTTCCAAAGTCTTCTTTAAATTAAAACACAAACCAAAGGTACTGATATTAAGCTGATCCTGTCAAAGCCAGCCCACAGGACAGGGCAGCCCCCCCCCCAATGCAGGGTGTCCGGAGGCCTCAACTTTATCCCAAGGAGCATCTGATGAGATCCACCCACCATTGTGTCAGACAAGCACTTCAATCACTGCACCACCAGGGCTTCTTCAATGCAACCATAATTCCGCTTCATTTGTAAACAGTGTCTGCCTTGAGCAGAACTGCAAATTTTCTTGGAATATAGACTTTCAGGAGACCTGGAGACTGAATGCTGAATGAATCCCTTTAACAACTGCTTTGACTTAAGGCAGAAGTATTCAGTGAGGTGCCTTTTAACTGAAACAAGAGTTTGACGTCATTAGTAAAGAATGCCTGCCATCAGCATTGTATGGGTTTTTTTTTTTATATTTTCTCCATTGTTACATGTTTTCTCCCTGCCTCAGCCCACCCTGCAGTGCACCCGTTGCTCAAGATTATTGTCCTACATATAATACCTAATCATATATTCCTTTCAGATAGTTCTCTCCCTCATCTGATCTAATGCAGTGTTCCATTATTTATCCACTCTTTTCTCCCTAATCCCCCTGTAACTCTCCTATTTTATAACAGCGGTGTTGTTGTTGTTGTTATGTGCCATCGAGTCACTTGCGACTCATAGCGACCCTATGCACAACAGCCCTAAACTCTGCTCTGTCCTGTGCCAATCGCACTGTCTCTGACACTCCCATCCCGATTGTCCCAGTCACTGAATCAATCCACCTCATAGAGGGTCTTCCCCTCCTGCGCTGTCCCTCCACCCTCCCAAGCATGATGTCCTTCTCCGAGGACCTGTCTCTCCTCACAACATGTCCAAAGTATGTTAGATGGAGCCTCAGAATCCTTGCCTCCAAGGAGCCACCCGGTTTAACCCTTTCCAGGACAAATCTGTTTGTTTTCCTAGCAGTCCATGGTATTCTCAATACTCTTCTCCAGCACCACAGCTCAAAGGCATCAATTCTGCTTCTATCCTCCCTGGTCATTGTCAAACTCTCTGATGGATAACAAGTGATTGCGAAGACCATAGCCTGTATCAGATGCACCTTAGTCTCCAGAGAGACACCATTGCTCTTCAGTACTTTCCTTTTGTGACTGTTTTTTTCCTTTTGAGATATTTCACTCAGCATAATGTCCTCCGGTCTCCCTCATGTTGTGTAATATTTTACACACTCATTGTTTTTCAGTGCTGCATAGTATTCCATTGTGTGAAAGTACTGTCGTTTTTCTATCCATTCGTTTGTTGATGGGCACTTGGGTTGCTTCCATCTCTTTGCTGTTGGGAATAACAGAGCAATAAACACAGGTGTGTATGTATCTGTTTGAGTTGTAGCTCTGGTTTCTTTAGAGCATGTTTCCAATAGTGGAATTGCTGGGTCAAGTGGTATTTCTCTTTCCGGAGTTTTGAGAAAACGGCAGACCACCTTCCACTGTGGGGGAACTATTTTACATTCCTACCAACGGTGAATAAGGGTTCCAATCTCTCCACAACCACACCAGCATTTCTTGTTTGCTGCTCTGTTGAACTCTGTTACTGTTGCTGGAGTGAGGTGATATCTCAGAGATGTTTTGATTTGCATCTCTCTGAGAGATAGGGATTCTGAACATTTCTTCGTGTATGTGTTGGCCATCTGAGTGTCTTCTTTGGTGAAGTGCTGATCCCGCTCTTTATTCCTCTTCAGAAGAAGCACGAAAGGGAGATGGGAGCCGGCAGACAGAAAAGGGGATAGCAGGGGATGCGGTTAGAGTTGGTGCAAAAGGAAGGCAGCAGAGCCTGTGTGAAAAGTTAGATTCGCAGGTCAAACACTACACAACACACACACAAACACACACTGGGGCAGAGACCAGAGCGTTGACCTCTACCACACCCAGCGTCCTCAAGGAATTATGGGAAGGACCACATGTCCAGCATTGTGCTCATTTAAAGGCTTATCTACTGCGGTTGCTGAGACTGTTAGGGGCCGTTAAGTCACTTGGACTCACAGGGACCCTGTAAACAACACATCTGAACCTTGCTCTATTCTGCACCATTGTTTATATGCTCAAGCCCATTTTTTTCCTTAAATTGAGATTTTAATGAACGATTATAGAGAACTTAGATTTCCATTCATTCATTGTTGCACATCTTCCTCCCTGTCCACTTCCCTCCTCCCCCATTCACTTCTCTCTTTTAGAATAAAAAAAATTCTTTCATTGTTATACAGTCCCCTCCCAGTCCACTTTACTATGCATCTCTTATTCTGGACTCTTGCCATACAAATAATACCTAATCATATATCCCTTTAAATAGTTCTCTCCCTCATCTCTTTCAATGCAGTGTACCTTAGTTATCACATCTTTTCTTCGTTTCCCCCAAACCCAATGTCAGTCCTGTGGCATTATAACAGTGGCATTATGCAGTGTATGTCCCTTTGTTACTGAGATATTTCACTCAGCACAATGTCCTCCAGGGTCACCCATTTTGTATATTTCATGAGTTGTTTTTCAGTGCTGCATAGTATTCCATTGTGTGAATATACCACAGCTTCTCTATCCATTCGTTTGTTGATGGGCACTTGAGTTGTTTCCCCACTCTTTGCTATTGTAAACAAAGCAGCAATAAATATAGGCATGCATATATCTGCCTGGGTGGAAGTTCTCAAGCCCAGTTTTTAAAGTCACTTTGTGTCAATGCATCTTGTGGAGGGTTCCTCTCTTCCTCTGACCCTCCATCTTTTCTAGTGTGATGTCACCCTTCAAGGACTGGTCTCTCGTGACAATATGCCTAATATATGTGGCATGGAGTTTCATCATCCTTTATTTTTTACTTTTCACATTTTTCCTTTATTTTTCTCAGAAGATAGCAATACATTATGATACATAATACATAACAACATGACAGTCACACAATTTTTCAGTAGGCCTAAGGTTCTGCAGGTATCCCTGCCGATCACGGCAGCATGAGGGGTCCTGAGAGTTCAGATGTTAAAGCTTTCTCCACAGTCACCAGTTCCTTTGATGTTTGGGTTATTGAACACAAACTCACTGGATGATTTGTCTTCTACATAGTCCATTTCTGTTCCTAAAAGGGTAAGCTGTGCTTTCTTTTTGATGAACACTCTGACCCCGACTTGAACAACTTCTTCATCAGAATCTCCAAAAGTCTTTGTATATTCTAAAGTATAAGAAAGGCCGTTGCAACCTCTGATTCAAACACCATCTTTCACACCTTCATGTTCAGGCTTATCTTAAGAAGCTGTTTTCTCTTGTGTACTGCTGAAGGTGTCAGGGTTAGGGCCGCCCCGGTGGACTGCAGCTTCCTTTTGCTGACAGCCCGGACAGTGGCTCGGACCAAGGAAGCTGACATCTTCGCCACCCGGGTGCCTCGGACCACAGCTCCCAGCCCTCAGCCTCCCTCCATGGACACGGGCGCGCACGACGCCACAGGCCACGGCGCGCAGCTCCCAGGCCTAGTTTCCTCATTCTTGCCTGTAAGGAGACCTTGTGTGCACTTCATCTGAGACAGATTTGCTTGTTCTTCCAGTGGTTGTGGGATTTTCAGTACTCTTCATTAGGGAGAGATGGTCCGTTTATATTAACAGAGGGCAAACAACCTGGACAAGGGGGTGAACAAGCGTACTAGTTGAAGACGATGTCACTGACTTATACAAGCTAAAAGTGTTGAATCGATGCATGCTTTCCTGTGTAGATTCTCAACAATTAAAAAACAAACACAACAAAACAAAACCCAAGCTCCTTAGCCCCAGAGCCCTGGAGCAGGTGACAGCCCTCAGGCTGGGCAGCGGGGTCCCGGGTTCGGTGCCACCCCAAATTCTACAGCCAAGGTGGCCTTGACAAGACTCGTGTTCTCTGGGCCTCAGTTTCCTCGTAGTGAACAGAGAAAGTCCTGCGGTGGCCGAGCACACAGAGGGCTCCCCCTCATCCACCTGCTCTTCTCCCTCATTGTGGGTCCTAGCTCTCAGGACTAACCGTGTGTCTGTCTGCTTGAAACAGACTCAAGGAATCTGGGGAGAAGCCGGGGAACGGAGCGTCCAGGCCAGAGGACCTTCAGCTGATTGGCCACCTGCAGACCCGCCTGAAGGAGAGAGAGGACATCATCAAACAGCTGACGGTGAGGCTGGAGGCTGGGGGCTTGCCGAGGTCCTCACGACGGACTTTGAAGTGGCACATGATGCCCCCCACTAGGCTTCAAGCCACCTTCAGGGTCCTTAGCTATTTTCCTTTCTAAGAGAAGGAGCCCTGGTCACAGAGTGGTTAACATTTGTAAACTCAAAGGTCAGTGGTTCAAACCCACCAGCAGATCTAACTGAGAATGACGTGACGCCCTCAGGAACCTGGAGGGGTGGTTCTGCCTCGGCTTGTGGCCTTGTGGGCCGGAGTCTACACAACAGTCTATAAGTCAATCAACGTCTGTAAGTGGGTATTTTACGATAAAATAAATATGCCGTCACTGAAGATCTTCAACTAGGAAAAACACAAATGGAGAGGGGGGAACATCACTTCATGCCAAAGTCCAGCAGCATTTGCCTGCTAGGTGCACGGGCTCAGATTTAAACCTGTAGAATTCAGGGAAAGTCCAGAATGAGTTGCTTTATGTTTGGATTTTTATAGCACTTTTCTCTTTACAAAATAAGAAAGTGTGAGTCCCTAGTGTGCTCCTTTCAAGCCAAGACAGTGGAGCTCAGTCTCACACACTGGGTACATTGTCAGAAGAGGCCGGCCCTTGGAGAAGGACGTCATGCTGGGAAGGGCAGAGGGGCAGAGAAAGAGAGGAAGACCGTCAAGATGGATTGATCCTGACACTTCAACAGTGGACTCGGGGGTCTACCAGAGTTGGTCGGGATGGCCCAGGCGGGACAAGGTTCAGACCAGCTCTTCCTAAGGTCGCTGTGATATGCAGCTGACTCGACAGCACATGTAACCACCACCTACAATACAAGCTGACCTTCTTTTGGTAAAAGCCGCCACCTGTGTTCCAGGCAGCAAGAGCTGACCCCAAACCAAACCGCGCTGCCGTGGCATTGCATGTGGTCCGCAGGGACCCCAGGACAGGCAGAGCTGGCCTTGCCGGCTGTCCTCTGTATCTGAAGGATCTCTGCTGGCCGTGGTCCATGGCGTGCTCGTTCACACCCTCTAGCTGGTCCTCGGGAGAAAGACAAGCCGTCTCCTTCCATTAGGACTCACAGCCCCAGGAAGCCACTGGAGAACTGACCTGAGGCAAGGAGCCTGAGTGGTGGAGTCGAATCCTTACAAAAGCAGCACGAAGGCTGCACAGTGGAGTGGACCTGGGAGGAGGGATTATATAACAACGAGAGACGTTTACTTTTCAAAGAGAAGAGCATATTGGGGGGAGGAGGGGTGGGCAGGGAGAAAAGTGCAACAATGAATGAATGGAAATCCAAAGTCTCTGCAAACTTTCATTAAAATTAATTAAAAAAATAAAAACCAACAATCATTAAAATTAATAAGAAAAAAAATTTAAAAAACCAAACCCAGGCTGTCACTTCCTCTTTGGAAGAGCAGCTGGTGGGCTTTGACTGCGGACTGTGGGATCAGGAGCAGAGCACTGGCCGCTACTGCACCGGGACCACTTTCCTGTACGACATAGACCTGTGGCCCCGGAGTCTGCTGGGACTTGACGTGAGCTTACAGGACAAAGTGCATCTGGGGGCGCAGCACACAGGTAACTGACCTGCAGCTCCATGACCATGCTACTCAGCATTCTCCGAGGGACAAAGCGGGGCAGCGTCCTCCAGTGATACTTGTCATTGTTTACTGCTGACTTGGAACCAACCCATAGCTGACCCTCCAGTGGGTTTTCAGAGGCAGGAACGCATGGAAGGAGACGGCCTATCTTTTCATCCACAGGGCCGCTGGTGGATTCAAACTGTATGCCTTTAGTTTGGCAGCACAATTACTTACCACTGAGTCACGAGAGCTCCCAGGAAACCCAAGAAGGGAATCCTGGGAAATCCAAGGAGGGAATCCAACAAGAGTCAGCTTCGTGTCAGTCCTGAGTCACAGCAATGAGACGGGAATAAGCGGACCCGGCTGCAGGCTTCCGAAGCTGTACCCCATCACAGAAGCATGTGCCCCCCCTTTTTTAAGAGTATCAAAGTTGTGTTTCCTATATCACAGTATTTTTTATAAAAGCCAAGTTGATAATTTCACTGTGTTCATATTAGAGAATATATCTATACATAAGAAATACGTATTTAGTCAGTATATGTAAAATTTATTCTCATGTACTTTAGTAAACACAAAAATATTATGTTTGGAGCGAAATCTTTACTCAAATTCTTTCTGTATTATATGGTTTTTATCAACTGTGCAAACCCACCTCCTGCCCCTATATATTATTTTCATAGATGTGTGGGCATGGGTTTTTTTTGGGGGGGGGGTCCATTCATTCATTGTTGCACTTTTCTCCCTACCCACTCCCTTCCTCCCAATTCACTCTTCGACTTGAAAAGAAAAAGAAAAAACTCTTTCATTGTTATGCAATCCCTCCCTTCAAGTCCACTATACACCCTTTACTCTGGACTCCTGTCATGACAAGAATACCCATTCATATGTCCCTTTTAAACAGTTCTCTTCCTAATCTGTTTTGATGTAATAGACATCATTCCTCCCCTCTTCTGTCTTCCCTCAACTCTGATGTCAGTCCTGTTTTACAATTGCCTTATGCAATATTTGTCCTCTTGTGACTGAGCTATTTCACTCAGCATAATGTCCTCCATTGTTACCCATTTTGCATAATATTTCATGAGTCCCTTGTTTTTCAATGTTGCATAGTATTCCTTTGTGTGAATATACCATAGCTTCTCTATCCATTCATTTCTACATGGCCCTTTCTTTCTCCCTTGGTGGTTTTGAACCAAGGACCTTTCAGATAACAGCCGAGGACTGAAACACTGCATTACCAGTGAGTGGCCCTTAAACAGAATAGCTCCTCCTCCACAGCCCCACCTGGCTGTCCACAAGCAGCCGGGCTTGGCGTGTTTCTCCCATCTGTCCTCACCTCTCTCCCCTCGCTTTCCTTTCACGCACCCCTAATACCGGGCTGGAACCCGCTGTGTTGGTCTTGCAGGAGGAGAGGCGGTTCCACTATGCTGCGTTCCCTGGTGCGATGGCCCACCGGAATCGATCCTTTTCCTTTCACCCTCATCCGGGGTACCTGACCCCTTCCATGAAGGTAAGCTGGGCCCACTGGTTGTCCCGTGTCCCGCCATCCTGCCGCCCTTCGTTTTCTGAAGGTCTCCGCCGCTTCCTGATGGGCTGGTGGACACGGCTCATTGACAATGACCCACAAGCCAGGGGTGGGGCCTCCTCATTCCTCTTTGGGGGACATAGTTCCATCTGGGGCACCACACCATTTGAGATGCATGGACCTTAACTCACCTACACAGAGATACCTTTTGTGGGGACTCACTGTCATTTCCCTTCCCACAAACAGAAGAAGAGAATGGAGGATGTGCCCAGCCGAGTGGTCAGCGTGCCAAACCTCGCCTCCTACGCAAAGAACTTCCTGAGCGGCGACCTGAGCTCCAGGATCAATGCCCCTCCGATCACCAAGTCCCCCAGCCTGGACCCAAGCCCAGGCTGTGGCCGGTCGTACAAACCCAGCCAGTCTCTGGATGTTAAAACTGCCTCCAGGTAGGGGCGCTGGGGCTGTGACTCTGCTGAGGTCTGAGTAGAGGGGATGGAAATTAGGGTGCACACTGAGGCATCTGGACAGGCGTGAAGAATGGTAAACCGAGTCCAGATGAGGATGACTTAGAATCTAGCCAAAGAGCGGAACAGCCGTGTGGGCAGGAAGCACATTGTCGTTCATGGGTGGAATCCTCCCTTCCATGCAGGAGCTTAACGACTGAGATGTGCCAGACCAGAGACCACGGTGTTACCGTTGCTTTGTATGCATGCTGAAGTTGACAGTGAATAAAGATGGAAGAGCTGATGCCTTTGAACTGTGCTGTTGGCAGAGTACTGAACATTCCATGGACTGTCAAAAGAACATACAAGTCTTGGACGAAGTGTGACTGGGGTGTCCCTGAGGGGCAAAGATGATGAAACTTCATCTCACATACTTTGGGCATACTGTCAGGAGGGGTCAGTCCTTGGAAAAAAGGTGACATGTTGGAAAAAGAGAGTCTGAGAAGAGAGGAAGAGCCTGGGTGAGATGATGGACACAGTGACCGGAACAGTGGACTTCAGCTTGGTGGAGGTTGTTAGACAGGCACAGAACACGGACACAGTCACTGTAACAATGGACTTGAGCTTGGTGGAGGTTGTTAGACAGGCACAGAACATGGACACGGGGACCATAGCAATGGGCTTGAGCT